TTCTTTTCTCCAAAAAAAGCCAAACATCCTTCCAGCTCAAGAGGTTTTTTCTTTAGATTTTTGCTATTGTAAAGTGATATTTTCTTCAGTGATTTTCATGCATTTTGTCTTTTCTATTTCAACTTGACCTATTTCAGACATGGCCAGAGCACTTTAGGAAGGTTTACAGAATCCAATGACTCTCTGCTTCCATCCCTTATGGGTTCCTTTTAATGGGAATATAAATGTCAGAGTCATGCTCTTCTTGAAGATTCACTTTTTGTTTCATATGTGGTTAAAAGCTTGGCTATATCTTTACTATACTTCTGTTAGCTGTCCATCATAGTCCATGGATGTGTTATTTTTTCAGGCTTTCTCTGAGGGTCCATCCTGTCTTAAAGGTAATATAAAGTTTTGGTATGGGGTCACTAATTTGATTCAAATGAACATATTGGAAGCATATGCGATCCTACAATATTTAGTGATCGTTGTCGCGGTTGAAATCAACTCTAAAGTTATGAAATTGTAAATAATACAATCTTTATGTTGTATAGCTCCCTCTCAGGGTCAATATATTAATTAAGCTACAAAACAATGTGTCTTGACTAAAATTGATTAATTAGCTATTCCTGTTTGGAAATTATATATCACAACTACATATTCTGAGATTTTCATGGTCGCAGCTACCATTGTACGGCCGTATGCGCTATTTGAATTTTATCAACATTTACCGGGAGCACCGATAAATTTTTATATTTAATTTTTCTCGAAAGCAGAAGTGTTTTAGGGGCTAAATATTCTAGTGCTTATAAAACATCCACAGGGGCATCCAAATATATCAAAATTGTAAAGAATCACTATCCACCCAATTTTCAAAATTTCCCAAAACTTTGTAATACCTTTAAAGTCATAATACTCCAAATTAGAATCTTGCTTTAAATAGCTATAAATATTTAAAAAATCTTGTGTCTGGAAAAAAAAATTCTGCCTCATCTCTTAAACGTACTTTTTGTTTCGTATTTGGAGAAATGCTTGGCTATATAATAGTTCTGTTAGCTGTCCATCATTGTCCATGGATAGGTTGTTATTTTACCAGGGTTCCTAGCTTGGTGATCTTTTGACGGGTAAGAGGAAACGGTTGTAATTGACTGCTTCAGTCTTCTATCATTCCTCGTCTCTCTTCTCCCTTGAGACCTCAAACCTTTTCCGAAGTTCTAATTCTCCTCATCCTCATTTTTCTCATGAGTTGGAAAGATATAGAGTTGAGTTTCTGTGTCATAGTGGAAGTTATAAACAAACCTGAAAGGGTATTAAGTATTGTATTGCTTTTTAATACAAATTTCTCCTCATCATCAGTTGTTCCTCTTCGAAATTCTAATGTTTGTTTTAGTAAAAGATTTTAAACAACCTGAAAGTGGCATTCAGTATCATATTACCTTTTAAAGACAAATTTCTTTTCATCCTCTCTTGATTTAAAAAAATTGAATATATTTAACACGGTGGAAGTTTTTCAATCAAATATTTAGATGGTAACTAATATTCTATTTCTTTTTAATGACAGAATTCTGCTTCATTTCTGATTTCTTTTTTGAAGTTGAAAACATATCGACCTACTGATAAAGGATGAAGGCAACTCACAAGGAATAACAAGATATTAAAAATGTAATATTTGTTGGTAACCTGTTTTGATCAGTAGATTAATAACAGGATCAGTAGAATAATAACAGAATGACTGTTTTGTAAAATTTTGATCCATCAAATAAGATGAATTTAAACCGGAAGGTAGCTGTATGAAAAGTGAAACATAAATGTTTTAAAAAAAGGGATATTTTAAGCAGAAGCTTTGTTAGGCCATTTTCAATGAGACAGTTGTTACTTTAAAGGGATATACCTGCCATTAGTAGGAACTGTAAACACCTGTAACTCAACATATAATGTGACCTCTTTAAATGTGTTATTTATTTATTTATTTATTTTGACCTGTCCACTTCAGTCAGTGATCCTGGAAGCAGACATAAGGGTCATCACAAATTGGTCATCAATTCAAAATGACCTTGATTTCTAATTATATTTGTCCAGAACATCTGGATAAATCTTTCCAATCATTGATCAATAAAACGTGTGTCATCCTGGACGCCAATTGGCCAGGTAAATTAGTCACGCAGGTGAAGTATATATATAGATATATATATATATATATATATATATATATAAGTCGTAGAACTTTACATCTGATTGGTCACGGCTTCATTTTTTGGAATTGGATGCAGTTAATCTTCAAAAGAGAAATTGATATGCCCTCATTGGCAAGGAGATATATCTGTAGTAAGACTGATAAAACTGCTTCTTTAGAAAAAAAATATTAACAAATTAATCTGGGTTGTATTTCAAGTTTCAAGTTTATTTGTTCCACATTTTTACAGAAAATATAAACATTCATATAAAATAAAAAATTATACAATACAATTGTAGTTTATAAATGAGCACATGAAGTTCAACTAACCATCCTTTAATAAGAAAATATGGTTTGATCTTACCTACTGGGTGTGTTTATTTGATATGTTTCTGCTTAATATATATTATATCTCACTGTCCTAGGGGTGTAAACTTTGCTCTAATTACTTGTATAATGTTAATCCAGTCACTACAAAATCAAGGTACATATGCTTCTAGGCTCTAGCAATCTTTTTTTAAATGAATTTTTGAAAGGATATACCCTGTCAATAGGATGTAGATGATCTGTTTGACCAAGCTATATACATCTACAAGCTTTTTTTCTTTTGCCAAACTTTTCTAAAAGAAAGTAATTTCTCACTTTAATCAGAGTTGGCAGAGATTTCTAGAGAGTATATTTGGATCATGATTCATTTTGATAAACTGTGACGGAGGGAAGACTCGCACAATTGACTTACAAGTACGAGGAATTCCTTTTAAATTTAGAACCTATCGAGGGATTCTTTTTGCTACCCTATCACGGCTGGATGCAAATTCCAAGGCCCTCTGTGTGTGGCTCATTTCCATACCTTGTTAGCGGACTTTCCTGAAATAACAGATGGCCCACTTGATGAAGGATCCCCCCCTTGAAAATAGCCTGGCGTAGCCCTTTTGATGGGGTCGAGGGCTTGAGGCAGTGCTTAGTTTTACCTCAAGTTAAAATACCCCCTGTCCACACACAATATTTTCCGTGATTAGCTATACCGTTCCGCGATAGTGATACCGTTTGGCGATAGTTTTACGATGAAATTGTGTGTGTGGACGCTCACTAACGATACCTCGTATAACGAAACTAGTCTAACGAAACGCAGGTTTGGGCATCGTTTCGAACTAGAACTCAATAAAGAATCACGCCTAATCACGCCTAATCACGGAAAATGTTGTGTGTGGACAGGGGGAGTGTAACTAGTGTAACTAACTGGGCGGGGCTTAACGTGACCTCGAGCGAAAGGAGACCAGACCTCTCATTTCCGCTTCCATTTCATGACCGCAGTAGCAAACGGCGCACCTATACAACATTTCGCTGTAGAGTTTCAGGATTACTTTCTTCTGTGTGTGGACATCCTGGAATTTATACGATGATTATTTATACGACGTTTCTTGTGTGTGGACACTCTGAAATTTATACGATGATTCTTTATACGACGTTTCGTTATAGAGTTTCGGGATAAATTGTTTTGTGTGTGGACACACTGATAGTAAACCAAATACTATATGATTGGTGATGGAGGTTAAAACTTTGTTTCTACTTTCAGATAAAGTCAGATCAAATTTTATACAAGATGTGGTTAAGCCTGAGAATTCACTTTTTACTACCATTCTCCTTTCCTTGTAATGGTCATGTTTGACTTTTTTAAAGGTAAAGACCAGTTTTGGAAACGCCCCCCTCTCAAAAAATGAAAAGGAAGCTCTTATTACCAATCATGTGAAAGAATGTGTTGACTAATACGTGATCATACAAATTTTGCAGAGCAACCGCCTACAAATTAATATATTTGGTAAATTATTATATCTATTTGGACCTGATAGATATACGCACATGATGCTCACGTTTGGGGGTAGTCCCATATACATCTTTCTGTGTACAGTGCTTGTAACTCTATCAAGACTGGGCCAAATTTATTATCATGTTGATGATTCCAGAACCTAGCAGTACACACCAATACTTATATGCTAGATGATCAACCTTTCTGATCCGATTCCACAACGTTTCTTTTATAATGCAATCGCACGACCATAACTGGTCTTTATCTTTAAAGATATTTTTAACAGTACTTGTTGCAGGCACAGGGGTACCTTAATGCCCCCCTTTCCTTCTAATTCATTTGATTACCCCCGAATACAGGGGTAAAATATTGGCATAGAGCCCAAGTGATGACAAGATAGGTTTCCCAAGGAAGAGTAGATAATTGATAAAAACTATCATTAACATGGCATTCCATGAAACATAAATAGACAAAGAGTTATATTGAGTGGGGCAAATATTAATCATAAAGATATAGCCATCATCAATGTTATCTGATATCTAGAGGTCAATGGCTCAAAAAGTGCATGGTTGAGAATCAAAAGAATATTTGGACACAATGATGAAAAGAGAAATGATATTATGATGAATGATGTTAGAAACTCCATCAGATCTCAGGTAAATATTGGCTATTCCCTACTTGCCCTTTCCCACTTCCTACCTCCTCCATACATGTATATATACTTTCAAACTCATTTTAATACTTTTCTACAGTGTGCATGCCCTCTCTACAACCTCTCTCCCCCCCCCCCCACTCTCACTTTTTCCTCCTGATTTTAACTCTTATTGGTGTGTTATGGTAATGACCACTCTCCCTAGTCCCTACCCTTGTATATCGATCCGCCCCTCATATCTCGCCCCTCCATCCCACTCTGCAGTGCAATGCACCCCCTCCCGATCCCTTCCACGCCCCTTTTCCCCTCTCGCAACGACCCTCCCTCTCTGTCTCTAACTGATTCTTATTCTATTTATCTTTACACCCTTTTCTTATCCCTCCCTGTAGACAGGTGCCGAACAACCAAGCAGAGATTCAAGCCTGTACGTATGTTCTAGCAGCAGGCCTGAGCAGGCCTGAGCAGCGTCTAGATGAATACTGAGAGTGAGACTCTGAGAGGTACTGGCACCAGAACTAATTGACACACAGCAGGTGAACCAGCAATACTGTAATTGTCAACCATAACAATACTACATGGGTCTCAATGGATACATCCCCACCCCATTCTGGGAGAGGGAAGAGGGTCGCATTTACACACCTATCTTCTACCCCCCCCCCCCTTCCTGTTGTGGACAAAAAAAAGGGTTCTCTTAATACCACTCCCCTCTTAACTAACTTATGACTGTATTAAGCCAGGGTAATGGTATGATTGCAGGACCCTCAGCGAGAAGGGTGTTGATGAGACTTCCCTGGGTAAAGAAGACATATTATAATTATTGATACTACTCTGTGTTATGGACAGTATGTATCTAAGGTAGAACATTGGTGCAGAATAAATGGAATCATCACTTGAAATATTAGAGCTTAACAGGTTTATTAAATAGAATTGAATTTGATGTACAAATAGGAGCATCAGCTAATATCATTGACATGATATTAGCATATACAAATTGTACAAATTATAGTACTGAAAAAATGATATGTTAACAGTTGTAGATGTAGATGTGAATAGTAAGCAAAAGCTTTGAGCATACCGGTAGGTCTTCCTTTGGTTAGAGATATTGATCTCCTGCATTAACCCCAAACATCCTGGAGCTGTTGTCCATAATTTCAGACAAACTCTAATACTAATGTTATTGTTAAAATTGAAGTAATCTTTGTAGTTTTATAACTTTTCATATCTCCCAATTTGGGATACCCCATTCCTTCGACTAGGTACACCACATATTCCTGACGTACTACCAGAAACAGCTATTAACAGGGGGGCTACAAACCATCCACCGGTCCACCAATCAGAGACAGGGAGCACCTGCTGGGTTAAAGCTGTGAGCAAAGCATGCTGGGTATGCAGAGAACGAAGGATTTGACGCAAGGGACAGCAATAGTGGAGACTTGACTGCTGCTCCTGAGGACTGCTACAGAGATAGAAATGTGAGTATGCACCGCTGGAATGTATGTACACAATACTGGTAAAGTGCAATACAGTCAAGGGGGATGTTGAGACGGTCTCTCCTGTGTTTTCCTATCGTCTGGTCGTCCATCTTCCCTAAGTCTACCCATATAGACTGAAGCATGTTCAATTTCTCTGAACAAACAGTGGATTACTTTACCGGTGGTATTCTGAATTGTATTTAAGCGGCAGGAATGTTTGTTGGAGAGTCATCTTTGAAAGGAAGGCTCTTCTGTTCTAAGGTTATGCTTTTTGTAAGTATGCTCAATGTTATGATATTCATAATTCAGGCGATATGAGACTTGGTTATTTCACATTTTGTAATGATTTTGGAAAGGATAGATAAAAGTATGAATAGACAAAAATGATTATGGAGACAGACAAATTTGTTTATAAATCAAGAAAGAGAAGAGTAAATACAGATAAGATTGAAATAGGAATAAGAAGAGAGTGAAGAAAGGGAGAGAGGGTGAGTGAGAGGGGAGAGAGTGAGAGAGAGAGACAGAGGCAGAGGCAGAGACAAAGAGAGAAAAAGAGAGACAGAGACAGAAAGAGAGAGACAGAGAGAGAGACAGACAGACAGACAGACTGACTGATAGACAAACGGACATGCAGACAGATACACACACATTCGCACAAATGGAGAGAGAGAAAGAAAAACTGAAAAAGAGATATGGTTGTTACTTGTAGCAAACTTTATTTTGGGAAAATTTGGGGATACTAAGAACAGAAGTTTATTGACATCTCTGTGATAACTTCTTCATATTAATGAAAAAGTAATTAATTTTTTCCTGTCAATCCTTTCTTTCCTTCTCTTTCCACATCTAAGTTTTCATAAGAGGATCAATTTCCCTGAGACTAATTGGTATAGTTGATGACATCCTGTTATGTAGCCTCATCGTAGATGATTTTGACACTGTATTCTCATGGAAACATTCTTCATCAAATTGCTGTTATTGAGAACCAAAGAAATCAACCATGGAACTCACAGGAATGTTTCCACAATGTTAAGAGACACTTATTGGACTGTTTTTGTAGCTAGGATTAAAACATTGGGAGAGAGACGTGGGGTTGTTCTCATGACTCCAAGTTCTGTATAGGGATGTTTGGGGTCTGGGGCAGGGGGGTGGGGGGGGGGCTGTCATATTATGTCTTATTTCTAATGACAATGTTTTGGATGACAGTAGATTCACAACTGTCATGATAGCAGGCTTGTAGCAACATTTAGGAATATGTCATTAGCAATTTATGTCAAGGATGACACAGGGTATATCAATGTCTGATTCTGACATTTTGTCCTCATAAGATTGTTCTCACTCTAATGCCGAAAACGCCGATGTATTTTGAAAGCAAATTCAGAAATGCGTCACTAAATCTAGTGCGATATTTGTATCCACAGGGTAAAAAATTCCCTTTTGAGGGCTGAACGCTGAATGTTAAATAAGTATCTGCCCTGCAGCCAAATGATAATTGTCCTATCTAAATCATTTTCATTGATTTTACATTTTAAATACCCAATAAATAAAACTGGTCATATTTTATCTCCTTTATTTTTTCAAAATGTATACCATTTGGAAGTATGGGGATGTATTTTAGTGCAAAATCTTTATAATCTTGAACTGCTCATAGTTTTGTTTGTATACAACTCAAATAATCTTAAAGGTAAAGACCAGTTATGGTCATGCGATTGCATTGTGAAAGAAACGTTGTGGAATCGATCAGAAAAGGTTGATAGTCTAGCATCTAGCATCTGCAAGGTTCCGGAATCATCAAAATGATAAGAAATTTGGCCCATTCTTCGTAAAGTTACAAGCACTATACACAGAAAGATGTATATGGGATTACCCTATATCTCTCACAGACCATGAGAGAAACAAATTTACCAAATATATGAATTAGTAGGCGGTTTCCCGGCAAATTTTTTATTTTAATACTGACCAATACTGGTCTTTACCTTTAAGAATACATATTGAAATTGTAGGATTTGATGTTTGAAAGCTGTGCTCTTTTCTTTGATGATTCAGACGTACATATAATCGGCCATATTCGTTACGATATATTTGTTACAATGATTTAATACATACTCATGCAAATTTACTAAATCACATTTAGTTACAATAGATAATTGTTGTAATGTAATCAAATTTATTTATTCAATGCCTGAATACAATTTTTTTCATTATTTCATACAAATAAATATACTTGAATAGGTAGGATCGACAAGCCATAATGTTTGTTCTACCTAGCACTAATTAACGTATGCAAACTTTGCATTCTGACTATTTAAAATAAAATTATTTGTGACTTGTGAATGAAATCATTTGTGACATGGCATTTACAAACATTTGTGCATTAACTTTGATTACATTCACGAAATGGCTTATTTTGTTTTTCTTTAATAAAATCATCTTTATTCAATAGCTTTCGACTTTACAAAACATAACAAAACATATATGAATATACATACATTTAATATAACCAATAGAATCAACAACAAGAATATAGCTGATTATACAAGATAATTTTTTTTTTTTTAAAGCAACACAATGTTTTTCCACCTATTATCAAATGATACAAATTTATTATTTTTAACATAAATGTATTGTTCAAGAGAAGGATAATACCTTAACATGCATTTAAAAGAATTTAGTGAGAGTACGCTATTTTTGCATTTGTTGGAAAATATATAGTATTTGGCATATAAAATAACAAAATTAAATTGAACTCCAACGTTTCCATAAAATCCAAATATGAAATTGATTTTATTCAAAATAACTTTATCCTCTAAAATGAAATGTTGGACATCCGCAATAAACCTAATGATTGGGCAATCCCAAAATAAATGTTCTATAGATTCCATGGAGCTATAACAAAATGAACATAGGTCTGACTGCGAAACATTTAATAATTTAAGATATTTATTAACACCAACTATACGATGTATTATCTTAAACTGAAAATAAATGAAATGGCTTATTGTAACAAATGTGATTTAGTGAATTTGCACGAGTATGGAAAGAAAGTAACATGAGGAAATAAAGATTGGTATACTCATGCAGGACATAAGTCTAACTTCTTTGTTTTATTTATTGGTAACTGGACCGTATAGTCTCTGGTGGAGCTTGAAGAATACAGATTATGTTTAAAGGTACTATGTCCCATTTGCAGGCCCCAAAAATGAAAAGGTGAAATTCCAACAACATTTGAAAGATAATACTAATTTAGAACTTCCCCCCCAAAAAAGGGGGGGGGGGGAGGGGCTTGAAATGTCTTTAAGTGGGAAAATAACGGCTATTGGTTGTCAAATCGACTTAGGAGCTATAGAGCCAATAAGTAATAGTCTGTACCGAATGGTCGTACGTTTTATGCTGCGCAAAGATTCAATCAGTTTAATTTTGGCCATTACAAAAAGTGGGTTATTGATGTAGAAAAATGCTCATGTACCCTTTACAGCTCATTTTACGTATGTTATTACCAAAGAAGAAAAAAAGCCAGTCAGTCACTCGATAGTGTTTGACAGTGAAGTCTAGCAAGTAAACAGGTTTTCTTGCATAATTTGAATATTAGGACACTGCTCACGTTTAAATTTCACAGATAGGACATACATGAGATATTCATAATTCCTGCAAAGTTCTACAGAATTTGAGGTTGGCTGCAAAAGGGACATAGTATCTTTAAAATGAAGAGTATCGGTTTAGACTAGAATTATAGTTACTATGGTGATATTATTTGTGGTTGAAAAGGAGACAGGAAGAAAAGTGAGACACTGATTTGATAAAAACAACCTTGATTGAGGAACCATCAGTGTCATAATGAATATTGAATCTTCCTGTTTTTACAAGATGTCTCTTTCAATTGGTAACTGTTAGCAAAGTTTGAATCCTTGAAGTCACAAACAGATAGAGAGAGAGATAGACAGACAGACAGACAGACAGACAGACAGACATAGTGACAGAGAGAGAGAGAGAGAGAGAGGGGGAGGGACAGCATACCACAGATCTTAAGTTCACCACTTCAACTAGTATTAGTAGTAGTACAAGGCGGTTCTGATTTTCAGGCCCTTGTTTAGTTTTCTTGTCATACTCATAGTAACCTTTTAAAGAAATATATGTAAACTGAAATGATAGCTCATAAAAACAAAAGAGAAAACTTTGATCAAGGTGAAGTGATGATAATGATTTTATTACAGTAACCCCATTGTGTAAATGCCTCAGATTCTTATTCTTATTTAATTTCAAACTAAAATAATCACATAACAAAATTAAGGCAGGCTGACAAGAGAAGGAGGGGGACATGTATAGGGATTCATTTTATTTGGCCGAACATTGATGATAATGATGATGCTGATGGAGTAAAACAGGATTAGCATGAAGCTAATATCCTCTCAGAAAGTGTCTATTTGACAATTCATATCAGCTGCATTCAAGTTGGACTCTACATATTAAGTTTTCTTGCGATGACCATTCACATCCTTTACAGTTCTGAACAAGACAAGATCAAATTATTTCAACTCAAGAATGATTCACAGCATAGAGGATCGTGAAGAAACACTTGAAATAGTATTGTTATCATTCCTGTCATTTTTGACATTTATTTTGGCTGATACCCAGGGCAAGCCTTGCATGATGCACCTGTTCAAAAGCCTATTTAGACTAAAAGAAATTCATACAAAACTCCTATAAAGAAACGTCTTATGAATAATCATTGTATAGCCAAAGGAGCATAAAGCCTAGAAAACAACATCGTATAAAGAAACATCAAATAATGAAACCAATGTTTGATACGTCATATGATATGACGGCTTGCCAGTCGTCATTGCATGCTCATGATAAGCCCCGTCCCATTGATAACATTTTTGTACAATATGACATTCACATGCTATGCTATCAGACGTTTCTTTATATGCCATTCAGACTAGAAAAAAGGATAATTATCGTATAGCTATACAACAAATCATGTTAGTGTGAAAGTGGGGTAAGTT